ACAGTATATACTGTATATATATTTTTGCCAGAACAGAATGATTCCCTCAGAGAAACTGTTAAGTACTAAACTGCAGCTGAAAACAAAAACCTTTTAATGTATCTTTTTCCACAATAAAAGTGTTTAGCTGCTTTAAAGGTTTGCCCCTTTTTATTTCCTCCTCACAGTGTCAGCGTCCACATAGCTGTAAGTCAAACAGATAACTATGACATTTGCAAAGCTGGAAGATGAAGCCGGAGTCAAGTGATCCGAATCCAGCTCCAAACAAGCTGGGAAACAAAGCTTCAGGAGCCACTCAAATCAGCCAAGCTAGTCTCCCATCAGGCTGCCAGACCCTCTCTGCTCTCAGAGTGATGCTGGCAGCGGGAGCTGGCCGAGCACGGAGATGGAAAAAGAACAAGAGACATGCGAGAAAAGAGCTACAGAGGGAGATTTCATTACACACTCGCACAAAGAAAAAAAAAAGACACTCATCCTCCTCTGTTTTGCTTTCTGGCCCTTGTTTAATCTCAGCGCAGAGAGATACTGCAGGTAAGTGACAGATATAGATAACTTTATCTCAGGCGGACTGCACAATTACTCTGAATTTCATTATTGTGAGTGACAGCAACATATTTGTGGGAGGAGATACAACGCATGCATCAGCCTTCACCAGTGGGTGACTCTAGTGTGTGTGTGTTTGTGTGCATGCATGTGTGTTTGATCCATCTAAACTTACAGGAAGATTAAAATGGAAGGTTGTCTCCCTGAAGCTCTTCGTTGTACATAAACACACACACACACAATGACACATTCATGCWAATTAATCAGCCCTCTTGTAAAGCCCATTAGGTCCCCCACCCAAAGAGTAGATGGCCCAACTTGTGCCCCCCACCCCCCGAAGATTGTGACGTGCACTGACATGCCGTTTGGCTTTGAGCGGCGCGGCAATGACAAACGACTGACTTCCAATATCTCTATTAAAGAATGCTTCTCTTCTCAGGGTTCGACAGCCGTGCTCCACACATCACAGAGCTGCTCTCTGACAAGCTGCCATTCACCACACACCCACTGGACCTTCATTTATTTTTTCATCTTCTGTTTTTTATTTTTAGGGAGGGGGGATTGTTGGTAGATGAGTCACCGCCCCTTAATCAATAGGATTTTTATGTACGTATATATTGTTGAAATATCAGTGTGCGTGTCAGTCAGAGGTGGGGTACAGGAGCCTAAATGGAGCACCTTCAGTTCTAGCTTTGAAAACCCATTCATGCTCCTGTCAATCAAACGCCAGCACTATAGACTTTATAGCTGATTCACTTGAGGCACTAATTTTAATCTGATCTCGGTCCCTGACATTAAACTCATGACATCAAGTAGTGTATTAATTAGAGACAGACCAATTAATCAGCGAATATTGGCTTAGTTTTAAAAGAAATTGTCAATCAGCCATGTCTGTACCTTCCTAACCAATGAGAAAATAAAGATGCAACATCAGCTGCTACAACCAGTAACATATAATTTAGTTGTTATTAGCAAGAATGGTGCACTAATACATTGAAATATGTGATTATACACTTATACATTGCTATATGAAAATTATTGGTTAAGAGTTTTAATCAACCATCAGTCACTCTGATTTCTAAAGATCAGCTTTGACCATAGAAACTCATATTGGCTAACCTCTACAACTGACCAATTTTATGGTCAATAAACAACTTCAAAATTGAGTAAAACTCTACATGCATATTTAAAAATGTGTCATCATTGCACTATAAATATCTCAAAAGACCGCTTGGACTGTAACAAATGTTTCTATTCTGAATGATTTTAATATATTTGGACTCTCACTGGTCTTGATGTCTACACCTGCTTTAGCTGATTGATGACTGGGGAGAAAGAGAGAACTGAGAAATATGAGAGTTTAATCACAACAATAGCTCACATCGTGAGTTTTTTTTACATTAAAAAAGTGAAACATGAAATTTGAGGTGGAGTCTTCAGCTGTCAAATGCACAGAAATTAACAAATATTGACCCAAATTGTTACAAAAGACCAAACTTGTGATGGATGACAATGATGGTCATTGTTAAGTCTYCACAATATAAGAAAAACATTAATTTTATTGTTGTTTAAAACTGCAATATCGTTTGCAATAAATCCACATTTTTCTCACTTCTCATTTTCTCTTCTATCATTAAAGCRATTATAAGGTGTGGGCATCAAGGCCAGTGAGAATCTGAACATGAGTTTATGGTATTTGAAATATAACAGCCTTATTGAAGTCCAATCAGTCATTTGTTATAGTGATGATTATACATTATTTGTATTGTGAAGAATAAATTATACCTTTGTTTAATTGAACTAATGGCCACATTTGTAGCTTTAGAAGATTCCTGTGGATCAGCAYCATACTGTAGTTGTTCATCCAGGACAAGATTTTCACTAAAAAGTGAATTATTTACCAACATACTTTCTGTTTTCTTTTCTACTTGCATTTTTTTTCTCATTAGTGATTGTTTAGTTGGAGATGGAATAATAAAAAAAGTCATTAAAGGGGACTGGAAGCTTTCCTGTCAACTCAAGGCAAGGTCATTGTGATGAAACTGAGCTGGTTGTCAACACATGACAACAGAACCGCGTGGACGCGTCAGCGGGGCCAATCACCGGCAGCCCGGGGGGCCCCTGGACCCSCTGTATGTCCACTAATTAACTAAATAAATATAAAAAACCCTTGCTCTTAATTTAACCACAAACCAACACGCGCACTGAAAGCCAACCTTGCGCGCGCTGATGCAGAGTTGTACCAAACGCTTTGAACTTTGCGCCATTAGTGCCCAAAATCTGTGCCCTCATTATTTCTTTCGCACGCGCCCTCTTCTTCCTCCTCCTCCTCGTGCTCATCACCCATCATGTCTCTCCTCTCACGCGCTCGCAGGAAACAGCGCCAGCCTCGTGAAGTCTCCACAAACTGCAGTGCGGCAGCGTTTCGCTATTTTAAGACTAAATTTTGTTAGTGAGTAAACATTTAATCTCCTTTTRTCGTCTTCTTTCTCTCGGCCCGGTCCGGATAAAACAATGCGGGCAAGGGCTGAGTTAGTTGGTGCCATTTGTGATTCAGTTTAACAAATAAATAAATAAAATAAAATAAAAACTAAGTAAAACAAATCGACACAAAAGCTTGACAAACACTTGTCTTACCTCGCCTGAACATGTTGGCAGCAGCTGTGTGGACCGACTACCAGACTCCGGGCTGAAGTCGCATCCTTGTGGACTGAATTGTTTTGATGCCTTCTTCTTGTCCCCTTCCCAGATAGAAATGTTTCTAATCAAGTGGGAAACGACTGGAAGGAAGAAGGAGCCGGGTCGGGTAAAAACGAGGGCGGAAAACAGGAAATCATCTGAAGTTGTCTGCAGGTTGTTGTTGTTTTTTTTTTTGTTTTGTTTTTTTTCAGGAGGTACCAAAAATGTGGGAGAACACCTGGTCCCGTCCCCGAAGACACTCGGGATGTCTCAACTCACCGCCACCATCATGCTCAATGAGACACTTTATAGCCCCAAAATGAAAGAAATATTCAGGATGAAGCCAGAGGAAAGTTCTGCATGGTCCTCGTCGTGCTGCAGGTCTGGTTCGGAGTCTGGGAGGGGAAAAAACGGGCTGCGTGAGTCAGTTTCGTCCACTGTCTCCGAGCCTTCAGTCCCCCTCCCTCCTTCCCTCCCCTCCTTCCTCCTGTCTGATGAATAACAGCATCTCTCTCTCTCTCTCTCTCTCTCTCTCTCTCTCTCTCTCTCTCTCTCTCTCTCTCTAAATACAAAAAGAGAGCTCTCTGCTTTATTGGCATGACAAAGAAGAAGCCTATATGTTCATGAAGCAATTATAGAAATAGCAAACCTCCCTCTAGCAGGTCACCCCTCCCCTCCACCCACAGCTCCTTTATCTCCCAGAATTCAATTTCATTTCTCTAAACAATATTTTAAAAAAGCTTCAATTACAAATCATTTAGTGCTTTTCTTTTTTTTCTCRTTTTTTCTCCCCTCTTGTGCAGCTCTTGTGTCTCCCAGTCAAATCACTTTAGCTGTAATTGAATTAAGTTTAAATGTGGTTTGAATTGAAAGTTCTTTACTGATTGAGGACTTAAAAATGAAAGATTCATGGAAAACAATTTTTTAGTGTCATACGTTTGATGTGGTCTTAAAGTGCCTGACATGCATGTCTTTCATATAAGGTAAAAAAAAAACCTTTATATAATTTTGGCATGTTTCACATGATATTACCCATTTTGTKACACAAATCAATGATTCCCAACAAGGGGTATGTGTACCCCCTGGAGTACGCAAGCATATTAGAGGGGGTACATAGAAAAATTTCCRAGGTGTGTGAAAAATAAATAAAAATAGGACTAAGATTTGTAGGGCCCTGTGATTATCGCAATGTGGAAATTGCGGACGTAATCACAAAATTAACAAAAAATGGAACGCAGTATAAAATGTGGAATCTCACAGAATTTGCTCATTTGGGTGAGTTTCTGATGTACAGTATTTTGAATGCTGCTGTGTTCTGCACCTGCCATTACCTGGTTTATTTATTTAAATGTGTTCACTTTCACGTTCTAGAGGGTTAAATAAATAGTTTTCATTTAATGATCAATTGTAGTAGGTTATAGTTTTGGAGAATCATCATTAGGTTTGACTGAAGGGGTACTAGTGGTGTGACAAAATGGCTCAGTGGGTAAACAAGTCTAAAAAGGTTGTGAACCACTGGTCTAAAGTCCTGAAACACTCCAGCACTTTCAATAACTTGGACAGTTCCTTCAGTCCTTCACACTGTCTGAAGTCTTAAAAAAATTCCAGCACTTGCAGGACCTTGGACAGCTCCTTCAGTCCTTCACACTGTCTGAAGTCCTGAAACATTCCAGCACTTTAAGGACTTTGGACAGTTCCTTCAACCCTTCCTARGGTCKAATGTCCTGAAATAACCCAGCACTTTCAGGAACTTGCACAGTTCAATCAGCCCTTCACACTGTCAAAGGTCCTGAAACATTCCAGCACATTCAGGACCTTGGACAGCTCCTTCGGTCCTTCACATTGCCCAAAGTCCTGAAACATTCCAGAACTTTCAGGACCTTGGAGAGTTCCTTCAACCCTTCCTACTGTCCAAATTCCTGAAATATCTCAGCACTTTCAGGAACTTGGACAGTTCCTTCAACCCTTCCCACTGTCCAAGGCCCTGATATATCCCAGCACTTTCAGGACCTTGGACAGTTCC